ATTGCTTCTCACCAAACATGAAAAATAAAACCACTGGTAATTGAGGTGGTTAATTCCCGGTTTAAAAAAAAAAAATACTGTAATTTTAAAAAATGACAGTGTTTGCTGGATTTATTCAGCATGCTCTTCTGCATGAACCTAAACAAAAAAAAGTAAAGCAGTGAGGTTTTGATAAATTATTCTGTATCATATAATCTTTGTTTAGTGTGTGTGTGTGTGTGTGTGAGCACGCGCTCGCACAGGGGTCCACGTAAATGTGTGTACACATGTAGAGGCTAGTGGACTACCTTGTGGGTATCATCTTCAAAAAAGACCACCTACTTCCTTTGAGAGCATTTTTTTTTTCATTTTTTATTGGTTATTTTATTTATTTACATTTCAAATGTTATCCCTCTTCCCAGTTTCTCCTCCACAAACCCCCTATCTCCTCCTCCCTGCCTCTATACAGTTGCTCGGGGGGGGGGGCCCCCCCCCCCCCCCTCCTCCCTCTTTGGGGGGGGTTTTTTTTTTGGGGGGGGGGGTTGGCTTGAAGGTCACCAATTCAGCCAGCCTGGCTGGCCAGTGAGTCCCAAGGCTTCACCTTCCCCAGTGCTGGGATGACAGGCACACACCTCCATGCTTGGAATTTTTATGTCGTTGCTGGGGATTGAACTTGGGTCCTCCTGCTTCTCAGATAAGCACTTTATTGGCTGAGCTATATCCCCTCCTAAGTCACTTAATCTTTAGGTCCCAGAACCCTAACTAGGATAGCAAGGCAATGAGGAAACGACAGACACAAGGACACCCAGGAAAGCTGGGATTGCATGGACCGGGCTCGCTGCTGGAGAAGTCACAGCATCCTGGAAGCTTAGCTTCTTTATTATATACAATGCTTAAGTAGTGCACACAGCTGAACTGGGAGGCAGAATGTATGATGTACAACTGGATCTAGGAGACAGGCTTAGCTGAACTGGGTAGGTACCGTCTCTGTAGGAGAGCCGTCTTCAGGCTCCAGGGGCAAAAAAGCTATGCTGGACATTTTCTTTTTTTGTTTTGTTTTGTTTTGTTTTGTTTTTCGAGACAGACTTTCTCTGTGAAGCCCTGGCTATCCTGGAACTCACTCAGTAGACCAGGCTGGCCTCGAACTCAAAAATCCGTCTGCCTCTGCCTCCCAAGTGCTGGGATTAAAGGCATGCGCCACCACCACCCGGCCAATGCTAGACATTTTCTGCACACGCTATCAACATCCACATAGGGAGCAGAAGAAGCCTTGCCCCTCCCTCTGAGCTGCCCTCTGGGAAGGCTTTGCCATCCCTCTCAGCCTTACCAGGGGAAGGCTTTGTCACTTCCATGGACTAAGGCATTGGGGTCCTTGACATGGCTGTGCCTCTATCAGCAGCATCCATTCACTCAGGGCTGTGCTTCCCCCCCCCCCACCCCGTACTGTACAGAGCACTCAGTAGGATCTGAGCCAAAGGATAAGACCCACCCCTGAATTCTCTGTGTTCTCTTTATATGTATAAACCTATGCCAGCAACTAATTTATTAAAAATGAGACATGGTAAACAGTTATCAACAGTAGCTAATAATACATAATTAAGTAGGACAGTTCTAATAATATGCTGTAATAGTCTTGCCAATATAATTTCTTAGGACCATTATGAAGTAAGGTAAGAGTTACATGAACACAAGTCTCAGGAGACCTGCACAGTCCATCTGATGACCGAGAGACCTGTTGAATGATAAAGGGATAAGTAGTATATATACAAAGTAGCCACACTGGCCATAGTGATGAGTCACATCCAGGCAGGACAGAACTCAACACTGCAAGATTCTCTCACGATACGCCAAACAAGGTGTGAGTTAAACTTATGCATTATTTACAACTAGAACTTTTCATTTAATATTCCCGGGGCCACTGGCAAGCATGGGTAACCTGAGCAGAACTGTTTAACAAAGAGGAACAAGTATAACCAACGTATACAGCTTACTGAAAATTTACCACGGCGTTTTATACCGTAAGGTTTCCGTAAGAGAAATAGTGAATTCTAGCGGATTTCACATAGTACAACCCATACCTCCCATTCCTCCAACCACCTATGTTTGTACAGCCCAAGACCCGAAAATAGTCTCTATACTTGTCAATAGTTAAAAAACGTAGCAAAAGACCATTTCACGACATGTCAATATTATAGGAAATTTAAAAGTCAACATCCATAATCATGGGAACAGGGTCAGAGCTGATTTACATAGTATCTACACCACATGCCCACTGCAGCAGGAACAACCAGAGAACTGCACCAGAGGCCATGTGCTACACAAAGCAAGAAGCACTTCCTGCTCGGCCCTTTATAGAAACTTTATAGCTACCCACTCTTGGGGTGCAAAGGAGCAGGAGAGATGACTCTCAAATACAAGGTGACATTGACATTTTTTGGAGAATCAGTTAGTGCTTTGACAAGAAGCAATTTAGCTACGGGCTGCGTGATTGACGGTAGCCATAAGTGGAGAGTCTGAGAGCAGAGCTGCCTGACGTAGGGGAGGCTCTATGCTAGCATTCTTTCTGAAACAATTGCTGCTGCTTGATGATTGATTGTGTTTTCCTCCCCCTGCAGGAATTTGATCAGTTTGATGAAATTTCATTGATGTCAACTATCCAACTGTCTGTGTCCTACCAAAAGAGCTGTTTGCCTCCAAGACAACAAACAGCCCGTGTGATCCTTTCTCTTGCTTAAGCAGGAAGTCACCACTCAACAGTAAGGAATTTAAAACCAATCCCACAAAGTTTCGTATTTGGTATAAAATGTGAAATATTTGAAGTCTGGGGATATTGTCATCTCGGAGGTCCCCAGTGAGAACACATGGATGCTTTCCGGTTCAGTGAGAAGGTCACACCTTGCCCTCCAGTCGAATATAATTGCAAACATTCCCCTCTGGGGAATATCTTGTAAGGAAGATTACCATGCTTTCTGTTAAATCAAACCTCTCCCGTCCTTACCTTACAAATTCTCAGGCTTACTGTATTTCATCAGCCTAAAGGCAGGGTTTGACATCAGCAATTGTTCGAGAACATTTGTTTTTATGGTGGAAAAAGAAATGAGAGAGCAGATCCCAGACCTGAAAATCGACAGTAGTGGATACGTCATTGTGACTATTGAGAATATGTTATATCAATTAGAGACTTTTTAAAAACTTCATTACAAAGTGAGAGAAAACATTAAGACAGAAGAAAAATGAATGACTTTTGGGAAAGTGGAAACTCCCGGATGCATGCCAGTATAAGGGAAAATTTAAACGGCCTGTGTCAAATCCAAATACAAACAAACCAAACAAACAAACAAAAAATAATACCACCCCAGCATGGCAGCACATACCCACAATCCCAGATTTTTATGAGAGATGGAACACGAGTACCACATAAGCCCAAGTGTTTTGGGTTATCTTGTGCAACACATCAAGACTTTTTCTAAATAATAATAATAATAATAATGGCAGCAAGAGATTATAGCTCCGTTATACACTTTTGAGTATAGTATTGTTTACAACTGGTAATTGCAGTTAAGAGATTGCTTCCTCTCAGCATAGTAAGCATTAGTAAACAGGGTCACATGACATCATGACATTTGTTCATTTTATTTGAGACAGAATTTCTCTGTGTAGCCCTGGCTATCCTGGAACTTACTCTGTAGACCAGGCTGGCCTCGAACTCTCAACGATCTGCCTGCTTCTGCCTCCTGAGTACTGGGAGCTTCAGCACCACCAGCAACCACCTTTATAAAGAGGGACATTTTGTCTGTCATCCGCTTTAACTATGGCAGGGAAGGAAGCAAATCCCTCCTAACAGAAATAGGAAAAGGTCACCAACCAGGGAGAGACAGCTCAGTAAAGGGAGTTGGATAAATGTCTAAAAATGCCCACAGGACTGGGAAAGACTAGGATCAAGACACCCACCCAACCCCACCCCACCTGCAGCCAGGCCAAGTACAAAGCCCCTGAGTTGCCCTAGAACCTAGTCAGTCTCAGCCTCCAGGGAAAATAGTAGAGAGCTGGCTTTCACCTGTTCCCGGGTAACAAAAGAAGCCAGGACTCCACCACCAGGGCCAATTAAAGGGAAGGTCTCACAGTGGCCAATTAAGGAGTTAAAGACTACTGAGGCTCATCAGATCACTTGCTTCCCTGGCCTCACCCAGATGGGGAGAGAAAAGTATGAGTTTTGTTTCTCTTTTTTAAAAAAGTACTTGAGTTAAAAAACGACAACAACAAAAACAAAACTAAGTATTTTTGAAAGGCCAGCATGCTGCGTCAGACATCAATAGAAGAACTGGCCCGAACGTAAGGTTTCTCTTTATTGTTTCTCTGGCAGATTTTAAAAGATCACAAGTGAATCTAGAACTCAGAGAAATGCCAAGACTGTAGGTGACATTGGATGGCACTTTTGCCAGGAAGCGCAGTAGGAAGCACTTCACAGACAGGATGAACCAGTCTGAAGCCAGCAGACATCAGCCAGCTGGTGAGCCCCTGTCGCTCCAGGCAGATGCAGCTGGGGACATGCGTGGGAGGCAGTATGCTCCATATAAGCGGGCGGGGGTGAGCCCCACTCCACAGAACAAGAAAACTGAGATAAATCTGTCAGTGGACCCAGAGGGTCTAGGCAGCAGGTGCTTGCAACCACCACCTACAGTCTGCTTCCAGTGAGTGTTTTCTGTGAGTTTGTTTGCTTGTTTAAATGCTTCGCAGAATTCAAGAGCAATCACAAAACAAGTCACACTTGCCAAACACTGGGGAGTACTCTGGGCAGCAGGGGTTTCCATCGAGAAAAAAGAAAAGAAAATCAAGGTAATCAAGAAGGTAGGTGCAAACAACAGAGAGGGTGATCCCCGACGTCCTAATTTAGGTGATTTCTGTCATGGTCCTAGTAGCTGCGCAGTATTGGGACAGTTGGTGGCTACAGGGTCGAGCACCTGGATGTCATGCATCCTACGGAACCAACTAAGCTGAGTCCACATTAGCTTGGCGGCGCTATGACCCTCGAGTCTGCTCCCGAGGGGCGTGGCCTTTCCACACTCCCCACGTGGTCCTTTTCCGTCCTGGATCCTGGCTGGACCAGCCTAGGGCAGCCAGGTCTCATGGATTCGCAGTCCCGCTGCGTGGTGGTGACGGGTGAGCACACGTTTCCCTGCGTTCCGGGTTTCGGGCTGCTTTCTGCTGGGGCCTGGAATGCACACTTGCTCGACACTGCTTGTAAACAGCTCTCCCCGGGGAACATGAGTGGCAACTGGTGTCGGTAGGAATTCCAGATGGAAGCTGACTTCCTGCTCTGCCCTATTAAAAAACACAGGCTTTCCTGCCTCTGAGCCCCTTCGCCACAAATAACTTGAGTGCCGCGCACAGAGGTGCCCACTGTGGCTTAGACTCACCCGGACCTTGTTTGTCCTTCAACCCCTTGGGGAGGAGCCCAGGCTGTCACCTGCTGTCCCTAAGCCTAGGACCCAGCAGAAAGGATAGCATTGCAGATTCAGACAGAACAGACCCTCACCAGGCTCACACCATCCCTTTAAAGTACCAGGCCTTGATGGAGACTGCAGTGCCCCATCCCCCACCCCCATGGTGCTTTTGCTGCTATGGAAACACTGAACTAACCAACACACACACTGGTTGTTGATACCTCTGAACCCCTACACACACACACACACACACACACACACACACTAGTTGATGCCTCTGAACCCCAAAAGGTCAGCCTGGAAGGAATGGTGGCTACTTTATCTTCCATCTCAGCAGCACATCTGAAGTCACCCTAGCCACATGCACCTGTCATTGTCACAGCTGGTCCCTACAGGCTTACTCTTTCCTCACGATGCTCTCTTATTTTTAGTCAGACACTAAAGCGCTTTATTTATTTTTAGTTAGACACATTCGGCACATTTCAAGTTTTCCAACTTGCATTCAATAAAGGGAACATAAAGGAGTCCTGTCACCTGTCCTGATTGAAAGCTTTTTGATAAATACTTACAGACGGTGATTCATACTATCAGCCTTCCAAAAGGAGAAAAAAAAAGAGCATTCTTTTGAGACACTCTTATCCCCTTGCACTTTTGATTTGTTTTTTATTTCAGGTCCAGAGATTGAATGGCTCAAATTACACTTGGCGTTCTCAGGAAACCATACTCTTGGTAAAAAGCAGTACCTGTCTCAAATGAAATATGGGCATGGAAATGTGCTGCCCCCTCTTGGACTCACATCTTACCCTGCATTTCTCTCGTCAGCCTGCAGTAGCTGGGAGTCTGGCGCCACTGAGAAATGCCCACTGGATCCCAGAGTGTGGCCTGCCTTTATTATGATGTTTTGAGTTGCCGGGGCAGATTCTTCATTTTATTGGATCTGCTGGGTGTGTAAATCTTGTCTTGACAACTGGCATGTAAACAGATGTTGGAAATGCAAGGAGTCTAACAAACAGCCTTAAGATCAAGGTAGTGGCAGGCACCAACAGTAAAATGAGAGACCGGGCAAGCCAGCAGTCCTCCCCAGGTTTCCCTGATTCTACCAGATTTCTCTAACTGACTCCCCAACTCCACTCCAAGGCAGTCTTGATGGTGAATAAGGCTTAGCCCAGCAAAATAAGACCTTCTAACCTTGCTCCCTGAATTGTCGTTCCTAATTTAAAACAACAAGGATGTAGTTTTCTCAAAGCTGAATATGGTTCTAAAGCACGTGAGTGATATATGTGTCAATGGTTTTTTTTTTTTTTTTCTTTTTTTTTTTTTTTTTTTTTTTTTTTTGTCAATGGGTTTTTAATGATCCTAGAGGAAACTGGCTTCTCAGTCTTTCTACTTAATCTCAACATTTTCCACGTTGTTCTTTACGGCTGCAGGTTCCCACAGCAGCTGCAAGACCGTGTATCCTGTCAGTCAAAGCCAGATGGTGGTAGTCCCAAGATGGTGGGCCATTTTGTTGAAAAGCTTTCTGCCCCCAGAGGTTTTTCTCCCTGTGAACCAATCCTGTTGATGGGTCACGGCCCAAACACTCAGCAGTTGCCAGGCACAGCTGGATCCCCTCTCCAGTGCTGCCACCTACTCTAGAGGCCCTGGGGTACAGTGACCTGATGTGGCATTCTGAACTTTCACAGACTCAAATGTATGGGAATTGAGAAGTGTGTACTGAGAGTCAGGTGAGGGTCTGAAACCCTCAGCCATACCCCAGATAAAACTGAGTAGAACAATGCTCGACCCTACCTACCTACAGCCCAAGCTGAGTCTCCCCCTCCTCTCAGTCTGACACACTAGTCTCCCCCAGTAGGAGACCATACGTTTTTGATTTTAGAAATATAGATCAAGATGAAATTGTAAAGAAATGTACAGAGAACTCCTTGTAGCTCTCCCTAGAGTTGCCTGATGCTGACATCTTCAATGTCAAAGTTATCGTACTGACATCAGTACAATTAAGAAAGAGAGAAGCGGAGAGGGAGGGGGAAAGGAAGAGAAGGAGAAAGGGAAGGAGGGGTTGAGGAATGAACATGTGCACATGTGCACACAGATAGCCCTATACAATTTCAACCAGTGAGACGCTCCCTGGAATTGCCTCCCCCCTTAAAACACCCTCCCATGCTACTGCTTTCTAGCTCCTTTCCCCGTTTTAACACTTGGGGTACTTTTCAGATTCATTTGGCTGTAATAAAATATCCAGAAAACAAACAAACAAGAATAAAAGAACTTATTTCCATTTACAATTCCAGGTTATAGTCCATCATTGTGGGAAAGTCAGCATAGGAAGTTCAGACAGCTAGTCACATCACATCCACAGTGAAGGGCAGAGAGAAACGCATACATACTTCCTCTCTTGTTTGCTTCCTTGTGTTCAGCTTGATTTCTCCATTCTTTTATAGTTCAGGACCCAATGCCTAGGGAATGGTGCTGCCCATAGTGAACTGAGTCCCCCAACATCAATTAACAAGACAGTCCCCAGCAGAAATGCCCACCAGACAACAGACTGTAGATGATCCTTCATTGAGACTCTCCTTCTCAGAGATTCTAGGCTATATATCAGGTTGACAAAGCTGACCACCACAGAGTTAGTTTTCATGTCAGTTGAGGTGTTATAACAAAACATTTGACACGAACACCATAAATGGAGCAGAGGTTTATTTTATAACTCTCGTCAGAAATTTCCATCCACTGTGGCCAGTACCATTGTATGTGAGCCCTTGATGAGGGAGAGCATGGTAACAGAGGAAAGTAAAAAAGAAGGTTTTGGCTGGGCAATGGTGGCACACATCTTTAATCCCGCACTTGGGAGGTAGAGGCAGGCGGCTTTCTGAGTTAGAGGCCAGCCTGGTCTACAGAGTGAGTTCCAGGACAGCCAGGGCTATACAGAGAAACTCTGTCACGAAAAAAAACAAAAACAAAAAAGAAGTTTTTGTCTGATGGTGAACAGGAAGCAGAATGTAACTGTGACAAAAACACAAAATATAGCCCAAGGAAGTGCTCCCAGTGACCTACTTCCTCCAACCTGCCCCCATCCTCTAAGTTCTACTGCCTGAAAGTAGTTTATTCAAATTTTAAATCATCAAAGAATGACCATTTGTTGGCTGGGCGGTGGTGGCACACAACTTTAATCCCAGCACTTGGGAGGCTGAGGCAGGTGGATTTCTGAGTTCGAGGCCAGCCTGGTCTATATGCACCTGTGTGCACATCTGCATACATGCATGTGCATGTAACACACACACTTCTCATGCTGTACATGTCACTCATTTAAAGTTTGCATTTCAATTTGTCTTAATATAAATACAGAGATATAGATGCTTAAAGAGATCGTATCATTGTCATGGCCCATAGTCAACAGGCACAGCCCCGGGGAATGGCAAATTCACCTTCTCTCTTTATAGTTGTGCCTATTCAGGACATCTAGCATACATGGATTCAGAATATGTTGTCTTTTGGAACTGCTTTATTTCACTTACCATGCTTACAGTGTTCGTCCGTGTTACTGTGTGTATCAATACTTTGGGTCCTTTCGCTACAAAGGATTTCATTGTATGGATTATTCCACATTTGTTTTTCATTCATCAATTTATAAACATCTCGGTTGTTTCTACTTTTGTGGCCTCTTTTCATGGCAGAGTAATATTCTACAATATGGATAATTCCATAGCTTGCTAAGTTGTTGTGATGGTTAGCTTTTAATTGTCAACTTGATCAAACCTAATCACCTGAAGAGCGTCCCAGTGAAGAGTTGTTGAGAAATTAGGTTGGCTTGAGGGCATGCTTTTTGGGGATTATCTTAGTTAAGCTAATTGTTGTAAAAAGAACCAGTTTACTGTGGGCAGCACTGTTCCCTAGGCAACAGTTGGCCTGTGGGCATATCAACATTCCCTAATAGTGGTTTGCCTGTGAGTAAGTTGGTACCCACAATTAAGACAATTAACTAATTGACATGAAAAGACCCAGCCCACTGTGGGTGGTACTATTTCCTAGGCTGGGGATCGTTGGGCTGAAGGAGAGTAGAGAAATCAAGAGGAACACAAGCAAGTGACCACGTGGACATTTCTGTCTGCTGTTTGACTGTGGATGCTAGGTGACTAGTTGTTTGAAGTCCCTGCCTTGACTCTCCCACAATGATAGACTAAAAAATAATTGTATGCTGAAATGAATTCCCTTCTCCTCTAAGTTGCTTTTCGATGTTGTTGTTCTTATCATAGCAACAGTTAAAGTAGAACAGTTATTAACAACCTGTGGAAGAACATACAGAGAGTTTACAGCTTTTGGGTATTTTGAGTAGCGAGCACTACTGTGAACAGTAGTTTCGAGTTCTGAGATCACTGTCCAGGTGTGTACATGTTGGTCAGTCCACTTTCAGTTCTTCAAAAGAAAAAAAAATCTATCACCATATTGCAAAGTGGTGTCTTACGTTCCCACCAATATGTGAACCCCAGTTTCTCATTCTTACCAGCATTTGTAGGTGGTTGTCACATTTCATTCGCTGTGGCCATATTTCATTTTATTGTCTTATTATCTGGACATTATTATTTATTATTATTAATTAATGTTATTAATTGGAAATTAATCTCAGAACTGGAAACTATTGTTCACAGTAGTGTTCTTTGTAATGCCCTAACTGTAACTTCTTTATGTTTTCCCACAGGTTGTTAATAACTGTTCTACTTTTACTGTTGCTGTGATAAGACACAACAATTATTTCATTTTGATACAGGTTCTTGCTATGTAGCCCAAGCTAGCCTGGAACTTTCAGTCCTCCTATCTCAGGCTCCCAGGTGCAGGGCACTGAAGCTCTGAACCATGAAGTTAAGCACACTCTCCTGTGCTTTGTGGTGACTGTAAATCTCCTCATTCCTTGTGCCTAGTTTTCAATTAGACCTTTTAAATATATCCCATAATAGTCTTCATACAATAGCTATGTGCTTTTAAACTGTTCCCTGTAATAGCCTTTTCATCTTCTTAACAGAGTTTTGAAAAGAGCAGACTTTCTAAACTCTATTGTTTTTTTGTTTGTCTTATTTTGTTTTAAGACAAGCTCTTGGGTGGTGGTGGTCCATACCTTTAGTCTCAGGAAAGACAAGCAGATCTCTATGAACTGGCCTACAGTGGGAGTTCCAGGAAAGTCAAGGTTACACAGAGAAAACCTGTTGTGGGGAAACCCTGTTAATTAAGGTTGAAATCTACCATGTCCAAATGGTTCATCTGATCTCAGTGCAAAATGGAGGGCTCCCTTTACCAGCTTGGCTTCCCCTTCTTTGACCTTGTCTGGGGATTCCCGACTTCCCACACCCTTTACCTGGGGAAGGTCAAGTAGTCCAGGCAGACCTACAAACTTCCTCTTTTCCTGATAAGAACCCACCCAACAATTACCTGGGATTCCTGGAATTCGTCTCTATACAATGAGGTATTCACAGAACTTTAAACTCTAACCAATGGTTTTTATTTACCCTGAAAACTCCTATACACTATTCTCCAAGGTCCTTATATAGCCCTGGTTCACCCCCAAATAAAGTGTACCTTTACAAGCCCAGCCAAGTAGAGGTATATGCTCACAAGCCAAGAACCTCCAAGAGAGCTTGTTTCATTGAAGAGTGTTGGAGAAGACCTTCATCTGAAAGAGCTGTAACACTAAGATCTTGGTCTCTCTCTCTCTCTCTCTCTCTCTCTCTCTCTCTTTCTCTCTCCCCTTCTCTCTCCAACCCCCCACTGGCACTCCTACCCATTTGATCCTGTATAGCCTACCCATTTCTGGACTCTGTTTTATCCTTCCCACCCAGTGTGCAGTGGTGTCTGGACACCCTGAGTGGGAAGAAGCAGAGGATGAGCAGAGGATGTAGAACCATAGCTGGACCCCCAAAACACGTACCATACCCTGTCCTTAACCACCTTTCCACAAAGATCTGGTTAGCCTCCAACTTGATACACTTGCTGTGTAGCAGAGGATGACCTTAAATGTCTGATCTTTCTGCCTCTGCCTCCAGATTCCTCTGGTTACAGATATGCTCCATCATGGCTGCTTTTATGGATAGGCTTGAACCCTGAGCTTTGTGCATGCTGGGCAATCGCGTTACCTACTAAGCCTGTGTTTTCTTTTCTCTTTTTGTGCTTGGGGTTGAACCCAAGACCCTGTGTACATTCGCTGTACCCCTATCACCCCGTGAACCATACCCACAAGCAGCCTCAAAGTTTGTGATTATTCTGCAGTCCATGTGTTCTTTTTGGATCAAGACTCCTGAGACACACCCTCTTTTTTGTTTCCTCTAAAAATTTCAGTCTTACTTCTAAGGCTTTGCTCTCCATTTTGAATTTACTTGTGTCTAAGCTCCAGGCCATAAGAGACCAGGATTTTGCCTCTTGGTGTCTGTCTTAATTACTTTTCTGTTGCTATAAGAAAATACTCTGACAGAAGCAACTTAAGGGAAAAAGGGCTTTCTCTGGCCCATAGT